AAACTGGAAAAATTTTGGAATTATTCAAAAATGTTAATATATTTTAGAATTCTAAGAATTTTCTATTTTTTTATACACAAGTACCATGAACATAAGAATTTTTCAACAATTTGTGATGTTTCACATTTTTAAATTTTAGGATGGATTTTAGAATAAATAAAATTCTCAAAATTTTGGAAAATATACAAATTTCTAAAATCTCAATAATTTTATACATTTCAAAATATTCTCATTTTATCAAAATTTCTGGAATCTCCCAGATTTCGATAGCTTTTAAAATTTTGGAAATTATCCTAAAAATAAGAAATCTCAAGAAATTTAATAATTTTATAAAATTCAAATTTCACCTAGTGTGTGAGATGGCGTAAGGTTGTTGCTAAATACCGAAATAGTAAAAAGCTCCGATAATCCAGTTAATAGGAACCATTTAGATTTCTATCAACAACACTTTTTATATCTCCATTTAAATAACAAAAATACCGCTCCTCTTATGGAGCATTTTTGTTGCTTAAATTGTGGTATTAAAAGTGAGGCAGGCTAAAATCTAAGGGCCGGTTGTTCAATGTCTGGTTATCACTACTTGCCGGATAGACATCATTATCGACGTTTATATGCATGTGATCGATAAAGCAGTCGTTGTATTTAACCAGAGCTTCTATCTCAGATCTGTGCTAATGNATTTCTCTCAACAACACTTTTTATATCTCCATTTAAATAACAAAAATACCGCTCCTCTTATGGAGCATTTTTGTTGCTTAAATTGTGGTATTAAAAGTGAGGCAGGCTAAAATCTAAGGGCCGGTTGTTCAATGTCTGGTTATCACTACTTGCCGGTTAGACATCATTTTCGACGTTTATATGCATGTGATCGATAAAGCAGTCGTTGTATTGCACCAGAGCTTCTATCTCAGATCTGTGCTAATCAGACATTGAACAACTGTCCCTAAATTGTTCATATTTACTGCATTATCGACATATTTCAGGGTAAACTTTCACAAATCAGCAAAGTAATTTCGCTAAATATTTCCAAGGTTATATGGGATAAAATAACAGGGAAGCTTTTGCAATCTGCCAAAGTTGCCAAAGAGCTTTCGTCAAGTTTAAATTAGCCGGCTTAGGTAAATTACCTGCTACTTAGTAAAATTTTCCGAATAAAAAAGCTTATGAAGATTAAGAGAGAGAGAAAACTTAAGAGNTGCCAAAGTTGCCAAAGAGCTTTCGTCAAGTTTAAATTAGCCGGCTTAGGAAAATTACCTCCTACTTAGTAAAATTTTCCGAATAAAAAAGCTTATGAAGATTTTACTAAGAAGTTAGTTTGGCTACGATAACAAGAAAACTTAAGACGGTAATTAAACCTAAATTTGAAGTTGTGCTACACCCGAATTTAAGTTAACTTTAGATAAGTTTTTCTCTGTGTGTAACTTCGAAAGTGCGCCACTTCAGACACACACAAAGTAAAGTTGCAGGATCTCGGTGTCCAGAGAGGGCTTGAATTTTATTGTCCGTTTTTTTATACTTACATAAGCATTCTTATTGTTATGCAAGCGTAAGTGGCGGTATACGAGTACCAAGTATGTGTTTTTGTTCACCTTTATGTATGTTTGCTCGTCAGTTTAATTTTTTTCTTTCAAGTATTTTGCATGATTGACATTACACACTTTCTATTCAGAAATTTAATGGTGGGTTCGTTTCTTCCAAAAAATGTTGCCCTTCCACGGTACAAAATGTGTTTGGTGCTACACTCAATGCTGTAAGAGGTCGTGTTTTTGCCCTCTTGTCCTTGTCTGGCTCAATAATTTCATAAAATAGTTTTTTTATTTAAGCAAACCATCTGGTTTTCAGGGCAACCTTCTCCCCTGAAAAAGCTTCAAAGGGCAGATAATATCCTTAGAATGTTTAGAATCGAACACGAAAAGAGCAAGAGGCAATAGAAGGCCAAAATTTTTTGATAGAAACGAAAACACCATAAGAAAATTTTTGACCATGCAGTAGGGTGATTGACTCGGTTTTTTTAATTTTTGATATCGTTATTTATCAAATATCGAATAAACCGGAGTTTTGTTATCGAATGATTGGTTTATTCATCTAATATACATGCATATATATCTAAGCAACGGCATCTTAAATTCCGCTCTTAATTCATTATATTTTATATTTTGTTCAAGATGCATAAATACATTTTTGCGGGAACTTTTGCCCCTTATTCTTATTATTTTAACCGATAAATTCTTGTACATATATACATATGTGCGTCCATAGGCTTCTCGGAAAAGGCTGTAATGATTTTGATGATTTTTGTATTCAGATAACGGTTTGCATTTAGTATTTTCAATTTCTTACAAATAAAATAACATCTTGGGTATCAAATGGAAAGTATTTAAAAAAAAAACCCAATTAACCCAATATTTTTAATATATATTTTAACTAAAATCAACTTATTATTGATATCAAATGAAAGGTATTTTTGAGAATTTAAATCCAGAAATATTTTATATGAGTGTTGTCACGTTTTTTAATAATGCAAACTTTTATCTTAGTAATTTTATTGAGCATATACATATCGAGGGCTTATATTCAATACCCTCTATCTGAATTCTTCACAAAAATGAGATTCTGATACAAAAATCCACGTAAGACTTAACTGTCATCGGTGATGTTAATGCTGACCTTGTATATCGCTTGACAGAAGAATTTACTTATAAATTGCAAGGTCAGAATTGACATCAGTGATGACAGGCAAGTTCCAGATAGGTTTTAATATCACAAAGGTGGTTTTGGGAAAATTGCAGATAGAGGGTATTGAATATAAACCCTCGATGTGTACTCTCCGTCCTGGCGTATTTCTAATTAGGGTTGCCAAGTAATTTGTTTCGTTATGTTAAATAATGAATTCCATTACCAATATTACGTACAAAGTTTTTATAAATTAAAGCTACCCAAATGACCATTATTTGGTGCCAAACCCTTGAAAACTTTAAAAAGTATGCGCGCTCCGAGCAAAGTTCAGCCATCTTGTTCTATACAGCGTGGCGACGAATAACTGTTACAGATTTTTTTTTTTGAAATAGAAGGCTCCTTTATAGATTTTGCGAAGAAAGTATTTTATTGTAAATTTTCCACAGATTTTACTTACATTTTATTAATTAGTTCTAAAATTTTAATCTTTATTTGGATTTTCCAGGGGTAAACACTTTGAAAGTAAAGCACCGGACACGCCGAGGCACACCATGGCATTGCTTTTTACATTCCCCTTCCTTGAGACATACAAATATAGCTCATTTGAAAAGCCGGTTCCTAAACCATAAATCCGTTTAATCAGATAATTTTTGTGTTTTCTTTCCAAAGTACGATTTTAACGAAAAAAAAACTGAAGGATTGATTGCGTTCTATGAAAGAGTAATCGAATGTTCGAAACAAAACTTTCTTGTGGAGGTAAAAATGTGGAAACAACGAATTTCAGAAGAACCCTTTTCTCTCTCTCTCGAAGCATTACAAAAGGTAAATACAACGTCTTTTGGAAGNATCAGATAATTTTTGTGTTTTCTTTCCAAAGTACGATTTTAACGAAAAAACTGAAGGATTGATTGCTTTCTATGAAAGAGTAATCGAATGTTCGAAACAAAACTTTCTTGTGGAGGTAAAAATGTGGAAACAACGAATTTCAGAAGAACCCTTTTCGAAATGCTCTCGAAGCATTACAAAAGGTAAATACAACGTTTTTTGGAAATGTTTGTAGATCTTACATATATATAATGGTTTTTAACACCCAATTCCATGATATTGGCTACCATTACCTAACCAGTATCCATAATAATTGCTGCCATTATTANTTTTGGAAGTGTTTGTAGATCTTACATATATATAATGGTTTTTAACACCCAATTCCATGATATTGGCTACCATTACCTAACCAGTATCCATAATAATTGCTGCCATTATTACGCTCATTGTCATGTTGTAGGTCCGCGCCATTTTTTATAAATTTTTTTTTTGGGGGTGCTTGCCAATTGCTGTCAGGCAACCATTAGATTTCAAAGGAGTAGGGAAAGGACACCGCCATAGGGTAAGAACATAGTGGAGCGGCGAGCAAAGAGCATTGAGCAAAGCGTCAATTTCAGAAGCATATCTTTTAATGGGAAAACGCATAGTGAAGAGCAAAGCGTACATACACGTTTGAAATTGAAGCTTTGTTCGATGCTAGCTCTTCGCTTTGCTCGCCGCTCCACTTTGTTTTGACCCTTAAATCTATTGTCTAAAAGGCGGAGAGGTTAGTTAGGGCGTGGAGAACAGCCTCTGGGGGAACATTATTAAAGACCCCCTCGATATATAGGTATATGCCTAATGCAAATCCCTTAAATGTTAGTGCCTTTTCATGGTGCTATGAAGAGCTGTGTCCACAGACCTGTTTTTCCAGTAGGCATGCCGACACCTAAATAGTTTACTCATATCCATTTCCTGTTGGATCTATAAGTCCAGTAGTCCGTCCAGAACCTTGAGAAGGAAAGAAGTAAGACTTGTAGGTAGAAAGTCGCTTGGCTTCACGTGGGAATGAACACAACATTCGCCAGTGTTCAGTCCTTAGGTATGAAACTAAGTCTAAGACAAGCCTTATAGATGGAGACAAGCGGCGGACATAAAATGTTTGATGTATATAGACTGAAGTTCGGTGTGGAAAATACCATACATTCCGGGGGATTTGTAGAGCTGGAAGGACCTTATGGCTCAGTCTACACATTTTACATCAATGAAATCCATAGATTCCAGTCCAGAGGCGATGAGAGCCTTGCCAGACTCCACAGTACACTCTGGAAAGTGTGCACTCATTAGTCAGCTATCATAGAAAATTATTGTTATTATTATTTTTTTTTAATGGCTTTGGGGTAGGAAAAATGCAGATTCTGTTAATTTTTAACATAAAAACCACACAAAAACACAATTAAAAATTTTTAACATATTTTTATTCAATTAAACATAAACGAAAAATAGTACAAAAGAAAAATGAGGCCAGTGCACTTACATAGGTAAGCGCACTTAAGACAATAACAAAATGAAATAAAATTAAAATTATAAATGTAGCTAATAATTTGTTTCAAACATGTCCACAAAGGCATATTCAAGCAAAAAAAGAACGAGGCAATACGGATCACTATTAATAAAACATGATAATCATAATGGTAAAAAATAAGTAAGTATTAAAAAATAAATTGTATTTATGTTTGTATACACACACAAAGCGAATGTCATTTATACATATGGAGCGAGCGATGTCAGTGGTTTATTTAAGTTATAATACGAATTTGAGCACAAAAAGCAGCAGCTAGCTCCAGGGCGAAAGCAAGAGAAAGCCGCGGAACGCAACCGTATCCGTAAACCGTTCTATCCTAGCACTAATCTCAACTACGAGTAAGCCGAGCATCCTAATCGATGTTAAGTTGCCGGAAAGTGCCCTCCACGCCGAACAGATCATCGGTAGTCTTCGGCGAACCAGGGCGCAGCGCTTCGTTGGCCTTCTTATCTTCCTGTTCCTTGAACCAAGGAGTGTATTCTTCCAACTTCTTCTTCCACTGTTGGTTCAACTCGACCACCGAACCAGCTTTGCCGCCATACTCGTCGGGCAGCAAGTCACGTGGCACCGCTTTGTACAGACTTTCGATGTTGCTATGGAAGGTGATACGATTGCGGATCTTCTCCTTTACGAAGGGACGCACAAAGTTGAAGATGGTGTCAACCAATGGCGAAATATTGAACACATGCACCTCTTTCACCTTCACCGGGTATCCTTCTTGCACGGCGATGAGGAATTTCTTAATCACAGTTGGCGTGAATTTGGCAAAATGATGAGCCGAAGCGAGTGTGGCGTCAACAATGAAAATATCACCGGCAATGCCGACCTTCTCCTCCAGCAGACGAATATCGCCGATCATGAGCGCCACCTTGGCGGCGTCATTGATGTGATGCGCTTGGAAATCGACATCGATGCCGCGTACAAAGGTGATGCGGCGACCGTTAGGCGTGAGACCAGGCAGAGTAGGGCAGTGTCTGGAAGATGAAGAGAGAGAGCAAAAATTGAATGAAAGAGAGTTACTGTGTCTGTGCGTATGTGTATTTAGAATGCATTCACTTACAAGTAATCCAATACCATAGCCAATTCAGGTCGACTAATATCACGATTGGCAAAGAATTCTGGCACAGCATTGCGCATCGTATAGTACATGTCCAGCTTCTTTTTCACCTTCTCCAAGCTGAATTTGCAGCCACGCAAGAAAGTGGCCAAACGGCCGTCGTCCATATCCTTGGGCAGATGCGGTTGTGTGTCCAACCATTCACGTACAAGTTTAATGTCGCGATCGATGTCCGATTGATTTTCGGGTTCGCGCAATTCCTGGCGAATTGTGACGCGTTGTTGGGGTGTGGGCTGCATGAGCATCATCTGGAAGAAGAGAAGGAGAAAAGTGGCGTTAAGTGAGAGGTAAAAAAGGAAAAAGTTAACAAATGTTAATACTAATAAATTGATTGGAAACATAAAAAAATAGCATTTAATTTAATTAGATTGGGGCGTGCAGGCGAAGAGCTCAAAAATTATTATTTACGCAGAGCGGCTTATTCAAGACTTCATCCGTTGGGCTGATAGGCACATTGTTATGCCCCGTATAGCATTTTTCCTGATCTAACCCCATTAGTACTTAAACCCTCCTCAGTTCTTGGTGACTCCAGCTAGTTCCTTCAGTGTAACCGTGCCTAAGCCGTTCAGATTACTTCGCTTGTGGTTAAAATATCCCACCTCTTCATTACGTTGAAGGTAGAGATCGAATGCTCGGCTTAGATAGCCTCAAGTCCGAGTCCTTCTTAAATTATGGTCCTCTTCAACCTCGGAGAGCAGAAATATCAGACGGCCCTGTACGTTGGACTGCTCTCCGACGTCCTGTCCCTATAGTCTTTTCTCTTGCACCACGCTACTTAATTATCCGAATAGCTCTGTTTCGGGACACAGTTTATTTAGACTGTTAGTCTACTACAAAAAAAATATAGGGATTTTCGAGTTCGCCTCAAGACTCTGCAAAACACATTTTCAAACCACTAACAAACACATTTTAAATCACGTCCAGACTTAAACCCAAAAACTTAGAATACTCAGAAAAGATATAAAACATCCATCTCTCAACTTAGGACTAAGGGACACATCACACGTCGCCATTACATGACAGATAGACATAAATTCACTTCAATGATGAGGGTTGCTAAAGGATAATCCTCAGAAAATTATAGAGTAGTTATTAAAAAGATAAAGGAGTCTACGCCTAGACCACAAAAACGTGAACATGGATGCTAAGAACGGCAATGGGAAAATAAAATCTGCTACGATAAAGAATGTGGATGCAACCAAAGATGAGCGCAAGAAATCAGAGAATCCCATAGGAAGTAAGCCTAGACCTCCGATACAAATTATGTTGCAACGAAAAACCTCAAAGCAGAAAGCAGAGGGCCAAACAAAGCCAGACAAAGCTAACAACTCTTAAGGAATCCTCAGAACGCGTTGCAGGCCTCTAACTCATGGCGGCAATAGAGATCTGCAACCTGAACTTAGGTTTGGCAGTAGTCCCCAGTGGTTCTCACTTAGACCCAAGGCCCTTTTGCGAAATCGCATGGATCTTAAATGTATCTCATTCCTCTATTAATCTCCTAGTGCTTACAAAAGGGTGGATACGCTTTGAGGTCATCAAAATCATCGAAGAAATAACTGCCAAGAGCTCTTTTGCTCCTATTTGTTGGTGCCGGGCAAAGAAATAGTAGGTGGTAGGTGAATGATTTCCTCATCCTCATCCATGCAACTTCTGCAGTAGTCGTTTCCCGGCGCGCCTTCTGGCTGTGTGTAATCCAGTCAGACAATGTCCGGTAAGAGCTCCAATTACTATCTTACCTCCTTCGCCGAAGTAGTTAAAGGCATTGGGCATTTAGCATTTATTGCTGGTCAGAGTGTTCGTCAATATGCCAAGTTATTTCCATGTGCCACCTTTCATAGGCAATTTTAACAGTGAGCTTACACGATGTAGGGAGACAGAGGTGGCGCAATCAGCAGTACCGCTACTTTGTTCTTGGCGAATTTGACAGAATCAGCTGTTCGTGTGACGTCATTTTAGCAAACTGATTGTATGTATGCACAGATGTTTATATATATGTAAATATGGCGACCTCCATGGTTTGACAGTTTACACTCCTTCTCTCCTCCATCTACAATTATTCTTTCCTATTCGTTGCTATCTTGACGTCATCACCCGCAGGAATGCGCAATCTTGTATTCTATGATTCTTGGTGAGCTTACAAGTTTACATCTGTGAAGAGAAATACCCTGTGTATCCCTCATATTCTATGACACGTGCCATTCTATGACACGCAAGTTCGCCAGCCTTGCAATTTTTCTTGATGACACAATAGCCAGGAATCTACACCATGCATGTGGAGAATATCTAAGTCATCTACATATTTAAGAGATCGATGACATAGAGAAACTACTTTTGAGGGCAGCGACATTTCCCCCAGGGATTTAAGTCAATGAAAATGTAAATATACGGCCTTTGAGAAGCCCATTTTTTCGCCATAAAACACTGCAGTAGTTAGGAAGACGTGAGCTGAAAGATGTATCTAACACGAGTGGCGAACCCTGTCATAATGCGCAGGAATACGAAATGGTTCCTGGTGCTGGCTAAGTAAAAGTAAGTAAGTAGACAAACAGAAGACTGTGAACCACCTTCCCGGTTCGGGAAAATGCACTATGCATTTGGTATGTATCTCGAAAAAATGAGATTTTATTTAATTTTATCTTGGTCTATTTTTGTATCATACTAGCCGGTATGTACGAGAGAACACAGACATCGGAAATTCGTTCCAAAATGTGTGCTAATGTACACACGTATGTATGTACATCATTTTGAATAGAAACAAATCTACCGAAAAGTTAAAAATGAAGCTTGAGTACCAATATTACACCAATACTTTAACCAAAACGAATCAAAAAGTAAATAATAAGTAATAAGCACTGCAGAAATCAATAAAACTGAAAGCAAAAAATAGCAAGTGACCTCCAAAATATGGAATTAACAACTTTACACGTCGTTAAAACAAATATTTGCAAGAGGTTAGCTAGCAGCAGACTGCTGTGTCCCACATTTCGCAAGACGTGTCTGCAGTTATGTTGCGCAGCATGCAAATGTTTCGCAACATTGATGAATACTGTATGCGTAAAACTGCAAATGTCAAAGTGTTGTGAGAAGTTTTTTTTTTGACAATGAATAGCTACAAAAGAAATTAATATTTGCTTGTTTTTTGTTTTGTTGTTGCTTAAAAAATATTGTCTATTCAAAACAAGAAGTACAGGAAAATACTACGTTTGCAAGGGAAGAAGAAAAATAAACAAATGGAAGAAAAATATGAAGACGATGCTTCATGCAATTAAGCACCAGCAACAATATGCCATGTGAAGTGCTAATATTGACAATAATAAACACTTCCGTTGAGTGGTAATTTAATCTGTTATTTTGTCTTCTTGCTGGACGACGTATGTATAAGAAAACCTGTTGGCTGCAGAGCTAAATGGAATAAACTTGCGTAGTCGCCTTATTTTCATTTACTTAAATATTTCTTCTTTGATTTTGATTGATATTCAGCTGAATATTTAACTAGTTTCACGCATTGCATAATGTCGAAAAAGCATATTTTCTTAATTAACCTTCAGAAGACACACTGGGGTGTAAGACACCCCAGTGCAAAGCCTATTTTTGATAAACTTTTTCGTTATGTCAATAAAAGCTAACCATGCAATTATATGATCTTGTACCTTTGAAAAATTCAATAAGACATTTCATTTTAAATTTATTTTATCTAAATATTTCCAGCGTAATATATGCCAAAAAAGCTTAAGCTGTGTGTTTTAAAAGCAACATTTCAATTGGGGTGCAATTTACCCCAGTGTGTCGTTCACGTCAAATAACAAAGGTGTGTCCTCCGAAGGTTAAGCATCTCGAAGCAGGAAGATTTTTTAGTGTCACGCGCTTATTTGGGGCAATCTTCTTTCTTTCAGGAGATCAGTGCAGTAAAAGTTGTATTGATGTATATTTGTAAGATATCCGTTAATCCAGCAGACAATTTGTTGCTGTTTCTAATGTAGCTAATGAAAATCTGCGTGTACAAACGAACATTTCTGGACTAGTTCAGTGGTATTTAAGACCCATTTCGGGACAAGTTTAGGACCAATTCGTGACTACTTCAGAATGTTTTCGGGACTGTTTCAAAAGTTGTTCGGCACCATTTCGGAACTAGTTTACTACTATTTTACTATTTGAGGACCATTTCGGGATCGTTTCAAGACTTGTTTGGAATTATTTCGGGAAGAGTCCACGACTTTTTCAACCGTTTTTGGACCATCTCAATACTAGCTCAGACCTATTTCGGGACGGGTGCAGGACTATTTCAGGTCCGTTTCGGGACTAGATCGGGATCATTTCAAAAATGTTTTAGAACTATTTCAGGACCATTTTCGGACTAGTTCAAGATAAGTTTGGGACTAGTAAAGGAACTTTTCGGGAACGTTTCAAGACTTCTTCGAAATTATTCAATTGCATACATAAATAGGTTAGATTAGAGATTAAACTTTAATTTCATGTCATTTTATTAATTTTGTCGGGAGAAGTTCATAACTTTTTCAGAACCACTTTAGGACTACTTCCGGACAATTTTATAGACTAGTTCGGGATGATTTTGGCGTAGTTTTGAAGTAGTCACGAAAAGTTAAAGAAATAGTCGTGAACTATTTCCGAATTGGTTATGAAAAAGTCGTTTACAGGTCTTGACAAAATAATAAAATGAAATGAAATAAATTTTTAATTTCTAACCTAATCCATTTATGTATATAACTGAATCGCCCAATGCTTTGCCAAGCCGTACGTAGATTGGGTGCGTTCAGAAATGCATCAAGCCAAAGCATCAGTCTCTTTTACTTCTAAATTATAACTGATGCAAATGCCTTATATACGCAACTAAGTTCCAATTAGGCATTTAACCGTGGTTGCGCATATTTCCATCAATTACAGTTTAGAAATAAATACGTATGATGCTTTGGATTGATGCATTTCTGAACACACCCATTTTTGTACATTAAATTTCTTAAGTACTCGTGCCTTCTTTCTTTTCCTGTCGTTTAGCAGAAACGTTCTTATTGTCAACTAGCGGTAACATTTCTGGTTGCTAACGTTTTTTTTTTGTACACCATTATTAACCGGAATAGAATTTAAGTGTTGCCGACTCTACATGCACTTATTAAGTTGTGCAAATAACTAACCGAGCAAAGTTCAACTGGCGACTAGTTTAAATAATAAATATTTATCTATTTTTTGCTTTTTACACGCTATGCTTCAGTTAATTATGTCTTCAGCCACG